TTTGCTTAATAAATCCATGGTTTTCATCCAATTTTGGGGTTTTATGTTGCCTTATTACAATTTTGGGTTCATTATAATTAGGAGCAGAAGGAACAACTCAATTGGCAATGTTAATTATACCTTCTGTTGAAACTCCTCAGGTAACTTCAAAACTGTTGACTCTACAATAGCCATCAATTAAAGTAGTGTAGGTCACATCATTTGGATTTGTGGCTTTCATTTCTTTGAACATTCTTAATGCTTCCCTCATCTGACCTTGTTTACAGTTCCATAGATCAACAACTTATAGTGTTGGGATGAATATTTGATCTGTCCACACCAGCATTTGGTATTTATGGCTTGTGGATCTTTACTATACTTTTTGCCTGATTACAGTTTTAGGTGTTTAGAGACGCATAAACCCAATCTAGGATTGAATCAGGAATAACATTAAACTTATTTACAGCAATGTGAGAATACTCCCCTATTTTATAGATATCATTCAATTGTTGAAAGTCAATCCAAAAATAACTTCTCATGTGGCAACATGAGTTTTCATGATTTGGATTCCATTAAGATAGGAATAATCAATGTGGATTTTCATGGTAATGGTGAGCTTTTCAAAAAACGATTCAGTGATATATGTATCCATTTATATAGTAAGATCTTAAATTGATGAAGTATTATCATTGGGATTCAAAATGACACATTTAGCCTTTTCTTTTGTCCTTTTTCTCTTCCTTGATGCTTCATAACTTGCAGTGTTAGCACCATTAGTGTGTTTTGTGTACTCTTCTCCTTTTGTGACCATTTTACCCTTATTCCTGCTTTTGAGATCATTTTAGGGTTCCCTTCTCTTTTGTAGACTAGACTCTTCATATTTTTTATGGATATTCAAATTGTGAGATTATAATTTTGAATTTGATTCCTATTTTTGTGATTTCTCAGATTAGTAGGCTGCATTGATTTCTATTGAGTCAAGTTTCAGAACTTTTGGTCTTTTAATCTTATTTATAGTATTTATTTATGTGTGTGATGTTTTTTGGTTCTAGGATTAGCACTTGAACGTTTGATCAGGTCTTGGCATACTTAAACCTTTTGTCTTTTTTACCCTTTTGATTGAGAAGACGCCAAAGAATGGGAATGGAGTTGAGCAACGGAATGTAAATGGGGAGCAGGGATATGAACCAGCTCAATCTAGTTCTGTAGCAGCACTTTAAGGTATTTATATTATTTCTGTTCTTTGATTTGGTTAAGGAAAAAAGGGTTGTAAGATTATATTTCCCATGAAATAGATGTCTCACATGCTGATCAACACTTTCAAGTTTTAACAGTCATTTCAAGAAATAGATGTCTAACTTATACATTGAGGCTATAATGATAAATTATTATGAAAATTTCTTATTGGTTGATGACACTAAACATGCTATGAAATACCTATTTTTCATGATGTTAATTCATAAACTTGTATTTTATATTTTAGTTTTATTAATGTTCTTTGAATCTTTTGAATTATTTATATTGTCTTCTTCTGTTTGATTCTTTTCTGTAATAGTTTTACCACTTCCATCATCTTTCTTCTTTGAAGAAGATTTAACATTACCTAAATTACCAGAATTACTTTTCTCCCCCTTTTAAACCTATCATTTCAGTGGTTTTGCAACTGAATCACAATCTTCTCCTTTCTTCACTATAAGGTAAGAGTTGAATGTATATATCTACCTATGGAGAGGACAAGTTGTCTTTATAGTTGTACCTATGGAGACGACATCTTGTCTCTATAGCTATGCCTATCGAGACGACATGTTGTTTTTATAGATGAATCTATGGAGACGACTTGTCGTCTCTATAGCTTCATCAAAGGAGACCATCAACTTATAGGGACAAACCATAATAGAACGACAGATCGTCTCCAAAGCCAACCAATTGGGACAATCTTTTTAGCGACGACAATAAAGATCTATTGCGACGGGGCTATGGTGACGAGAGCTATAGGGACGACATGTCGTCCCGGACACCTATAGGAATGACTTTTAGAAGCTATAGAGACGACATTTGTCGTCCCTATAGGTCTCGTTTCTTGTAGTGGTTCCACAATCACCCAAGAAAGATTTGTGGTTTAGCGATGATATCTATCGATAATAAAACCTTAGAGAATATTGACTACGATTATTTGATCAACTAATTTCCTATCAAGAATGCTAAAAGAACTTCACGGATCGTCGGTTAGCGGTTACGATGTGTAATTACTCATTAAAATACTATGATTTTGCTATGTGTATTGCTATAAAGTTTATTGCTATTTTAATAAAAAAAATTAGTTTATATAATTTAATTCGCTACACGTTAAGGACTAAGGGCCTTTTTTATTTGTCTCTTTCTGGGCATTCATGAAATCCTCAGGACTGATCCTGATCTAAAGAACCGAGAACGGTTCACCCAAAAAGTAATATGGGGGCATATTGAATGTGTTAGTTGATGAAGTGAAAGTTATTGGTTATGTTTGATATATCATTTCTTTACTATGTTTATTTTATTTTCGGTACACACTATGATGCCTTTGTCATGCAAGGGGATGTTATGTTACTCTCTAACAGTGTTGTCTTACCATTGTTTTTATGATGTATGTTACAGGGATATGTACAAGCGATAAGAGGAAAGGGATGTATTAGATTATGGATAGCTTCTGATACTTTTAGAAGATGTTTCTGTAGCTTTTTATTTATTCATGGTATCACCCGATTAGGCCACTTTGTTTAGCTTGTTGTAACTATGGCATTGATGATATAACTTGATATTCTATAGTTAATATGAAAGTATACCATCTTGTTTAAAGCATGTAGGAAATGAAACATATTTTTTGTACTTTATATTAATGTTGGGGTGTTGTAAGATGTCGATGAATTTACAATTGAAGTCTTCAAATTGTAAGAACACTTGCTAATATTTTATGGAAGATATGGAAAAGATACAAAGTATTAGACTTCGAAAATGTTTTTTTCAGAATTGGTTTTGGTTCCACATCCAAGAACCAAATATCTTAAAACTGGATAAGTGGATATCTTGGAACCGGAACCGTCTTGATAATATGTAATTTTTGTTTAGTCTAAGGGTGGTTTTCATTTTTTTTTTTTCCGATTCAGTCCGGTTCTAGCGAATCAAATGCTTATCCGTAACCATATCAAAGACTACTTACTTGAAGTATATGAAGTATATGACAATCTTAAATGTGGTTTTATGGTTGTAAATTTGAATTGGAATGCATGTACCTGAATAGCTTTTTGGTTACATTGTAGTCATGTAATAATAGTTTTAGAAATATAAAATTATTTTGAATAACACGACGTTGCATAGTTGTATCCTATTATAAAAATATATCAATATACATACGAGAAGATAGGGAATCCAATTCCGATCCTTTTCAATGGGTAATACCCGACCAAGTGATGATCGTGAAACTACCGGTGATAGACAAATTACATGGTAGTCGACCAAATCATTGAGGAGTTAAACAAAAAAAAAAAAAAAAAGGGGAGTCGATTCCACAAGAAAGGGCATGCAGAATGCTCATCTTACTTGACTGTCTTTGTTATTAGTTGATATGTTAATTTCGGGATCATCGCATAGGATTTTGGCGGCTAAGCATCAGATTATTATCCGACGTTGGATTTAATAAAAATAACCATTAAAGGTTTTTTGTGGTACTGAATTGTAGTTTGGCTTCAATAATTGTTTTTAAAATAATATGGAGTTCCCACTAGGTGTCTTTTCCACAAATACACCGTAAATATATACACCACAACTTTATTTTAATGTTACAAAACTCTAAAATAAACATATGCAAAACAAATGTAGGGCAAGTTGGCACTCTCAACAAGGAGACACAAGACCTTATTTAGATATGTTTCGCAATGAAGCACGACGTGGATTTGGTGAATTTCAATTGAGTTCATGACATCATCCACCATTATTTGCACCTTTATTTGTGACAGTGGCATATGTGTGATTTCAACTTGCGAATACACGTCATAATTGGTGAAATCAACGTAAACTAAGAAACGGTTTGCTTAAGTAAAGCATTGACTTAAAATGTAAATTCACGCCATAATTCGTGAAATCTACGATATTCATGAACAAATGTGTCAAAAGATTCAAAGAAAACTTCTAAATACTAGTTCTACAAAATCACGTTATAAATAGAGTAAAAAAATCAATTCGTAAAAGTAGAAAAACTACTACACCCACCTATGATGTTGGAAATAAAAATATTTGAGTAATCATGAAAAATGGCACTTCACCAAGCAATTACATCTTTTTCAAGTGAGTATATTAATAAAAACTCTAATGATAGTGGGAATACTTATCGTGATACCATTTCTATTGATTAAAATGGGATAATTTCAAGTATTCAATACTTATCGTGATACCATTTCTATTGATTGAAATGGGATAATTTCAAGTATTTAATATTTCTTCAGCCTTGGAGGAATATAAAAAATCGTAGAATGTTTAGGAAGATAACTCTTATCTCCAATCATCCAATTTTGTCATATGCTTCTAAAAAGGTGCATGTATCTACATAATTTATCTGCTCAATTATTAGGGTTTATATAGAAATCTCCTATTATATAATACATAGCTTTTTCATTCTATCAAACATTAAATGAGCATTACCACTTATTTCAAAATATAGAAAACATGTGCAATTCACATATCAACATGATTTTAACGTGTTATACTAAATTTTATCATCAAGACAAATACTAATAATTAAAATTATTTATAAAAGGAAATTTCCATCCACCAAAGGATATCGCACAATATCCCCCCGAGCCAATAAATAATCCGATATAACATACAAGTGTGGATTTTATTTTATTTGATTTTTAAAGATAAGATACAATTACTACAAGGTTAACAAGGTACTTACAAAACTTAACAACTCTAGGTAAGTTCCTATGTTCATATTATTATTATTATACTAAAACCAGAAATGTTTTATATTTTTATATTTTTTTAATTCATTGAGTTCTCAAGGCTGTGATCCAATCAATTTTCACAGTTTGTGCACCAGGTACACCACCTTCAGCATTCACATAGAATGACATTCCAACAACTCTTGATGGATTCATTTCTATATCTGCCTCAATTACATTCCCTCTCCATGTTCGAAGGTAATGCGCCAATGGAATCTGCAATTCCATTCCAAAGTTGTTCATCATTAACATCCCAAAATGTTTATCAAAATGTATCCGAAACTTGCCTTTGCAACAACCCAGATGTGTTTATGCACAGACACAAAAGCTTGCCATGAATTATCTTCCATTTGTCCAGACGAGTTTATACAATTTTCAGTGTAAATCTGAATAAAAAAAAATTATAAATAAATAAACACTCAAAATGTGTCTACATATTTTATATATAAGTAAGAACTTACTTACAGTAGATATATAACTCCTCCCATCTCCTTTGATTTTTAGTGATATGGTATCGTAGGGGTCTAAATCGATAGATCCGTCAAACTGTAGGGGTGAGAATTAGAAATAAAGATTGTTAGAAAGCTCAGGGGGTAAACGAGTAAATAGCAAAAGTAAAAGGGTTGATATCGACCTTTTTAAACCTTATTCCACATAATCCACTTCGGCTAGTATTCCATTTTGTAGTTTGTACTATCGGTAACATCCAGTGAAAGATTCCCAGAGAAAACTCCTATAATGATTTAAGAATTTCAAGAATAATAAAAAAAAAAAGATTTTTTTATAAAATTGTACGAATTTTACTAACCAGTGTCACGACTCTGTTCATTTCCATCATTAGTGATCTCCAATGTTGTTGATGATAAATAGTAGATTTATATAAAAGAAAAAATAAATAGTAGATTTATATAAAAGAAAAAATAAATACACACCTCCATATTCAGAATCTAATATAAATGCCATTTTTTAAGCTCTTCTTTGGAATTAAAGTTGTATATAAATCTCTCGCTAGGAGAAAACATAATGCCATTTTTTAAGCTCTTCTTTGGAATTAAAGTTGTATATAAATCTCTCGCTAGGAGAAAACATGTCATTAACATTCTATGAGAGAGCTTCAAAACAAGAAACAAATAAAAAAAAATCAGGTTACATCGGATATTATTAAAATTAGGGTTAAAATGAAAGAAATAGCAACGTACTTTCATTTATTTTTGTACTATAGAATTCCACTTTCATTTCTTTCAAAGTAGAATGTTGTAATAGGAAGAAATTAAAGTAGGAGACTATAAATATAATAAACAAGATCAATGGAAGGATATATTGCTATTATTTGCATTTTAGCCATTAATATTTAATATCAATATTTATTATTAGTAGTAGCAAACAAAGAGTGCGCATACCTCTTTTAGTGGTAGTTAAAGAAGCTTGAGATATTGCTCGAACTTTGGATATTTTTTTAGCTCTTTAGGGACGAGGGAGTCGTTCCCTTCCAACCCACTAAACCCACTCTGACATCAATTTTTGTCTCTTCTTTTTCTTCATCTTTCCTAACCCACAACACACGAAAATTCTATCTTTCTCAACTCACTCAATTAAAAAAAAAATACAAAACAACTAAGGTACAAGTTTTAAAACACATGGTACAAGAGAAAATGAGAGAGAGAAAGTAGAGAGAGATGATGAAGTGGGTTAGTGAAACCGATTAACCAACCCATTGAAGCGGTAGTGATACCGGCGGTAACTCTATTGCTAATTAAGATTTTACCTTCGATTGTTTTGTGTTTTTTTAATTGAATGGGTTGAGTGGGTTCAAAAACATATGGTTTCCGTGTGTTGTGGATTGGGAAAGATAAAGAAAAATAAAAAAAGAAAAAAGTTATGTGACGGTGAGTTCAGTGGGTTGGGAGGAAATGACTCCCTCCTCCTTTAGAAACTCTATGAGAAGTGAAACAAATACAACAAATTTCAAGATGTTCATTACATTGTAACTTAAAAGGCTATACTTTTGGGTTTGGGCTAGGCATTCTTTTGTATAAATCTTGGTAGGTTGATAGTGTATGGTGTGGTGGTATCTATTAGATAAGTTTGTGTGTGTGCAGCTACACACGTGTGTGCGGCCGCACATGGCGTGTGCGGTCGCACATGTGTGTGCGGCTGCACACTAGTGTGTGGATATGGCTAGTATAAAAGGGTTGTGTGTTTGTGTCAGAAAGGTGAAGTCTGTATGTGTGTGTTTTCAAGGTGTACTTGACATTTATGAGTAATAGATGTGTGCATGCTTGATCTTATTATTCTTCTACTCCTTCTACACTCTACACTCTACTTGATTGCTGATATTTCATTGATTAATGATTTGGATCCATCAGATTTGGGACTTACAATTGGTATCAAAGCTTGATCAAGGAATTTTGGAGAAGCGCAATTGTTAAGAAAGATGACAATGAAGAGAAATATCTTGAGGCAACTGTACAAGGCAAGAAGATCCTGATCACAGAACATGTCATTCAAGAATTGTTGAACATCAATAACATACCTGAATTCTCCATGGAAATTGATCCGGAACAAACCCAACAAGTCCTGGACCATATAGGTTATGAAGGATCATTTCCTCCTACCAACAAGAAATTACTACCTCCTTGCTTGAAGTACCTGGCTCATGTGTTTGTGAGCTGTATTTTCGGAAGGAGATCAGGTCCCAATGAGATTTCTCTCTTCAACACAGGAGCTATTGCAGCCTTGGCATCAGGGATTGAGTTCAATTTTTCAAAATTTATTTTGCATGAATTGATTCTCAATATTTAAGGAAACAAGAGGGAAAAGTTCTTGATGTACCAAAGGTTTCTTTAGATCATCTTTAATGGCATGCATCCTGAGATCGAAAGAGGAAATGAAACACTGGATCTCAAGTCTGTTGGTCCGAGTGCCTTTGGCTTAATGAAACAGAAAAGAGTTGGAAAATTTGTATTCGAAGAAAAATTTCCTTTGATTAAATTTGGAATATTTGCTGACAATAGTGATCAATCGGAATCAGACAATCTGCTAATCCAGCAAAAATTGAAGATGTTGTGATTTCAATTTCAGAGCCAGAAAATGAAGAAGTTCATGTTTCACCTGCAACAGTGTGACAACCCGATATTTTGAGATAATAAAAGGTAACACCAGTCAAATTTAGGCCAAAATATAACTTTCATAAAATCTTATTTGGGTTAAATAAAGTAGTAGGAATCGTATCAAGGTTTTCGTACATATAAAGAACCCAAAAATCCGAGTTATAACGAATAAGTTATGACCAACCGAAGATTCTCGGCAAAATCGGCAACATCAATTAAGCGAAAAACGCGAAGTTTCAATACAATAGTTTTTAGCCTTAAGTATCTAAATGAAAGTTTTAGATGACATTAAACCGTAAACGTACGCAAAAAGAACGTCCAAATCTGACTTCATATGAGAAAGTTATGATTTGTCCAAGACCCGGATATAGCAGCAGACAGCTAAAAACTCGAAATAGAGATCGAGAGACTCTTTGCCGAAATGACCTAAATAAGAATCGAAGGTCTCAACAATAATAGCGCAACGGTGAAAAGTCTGACGAAAACGGACATCGGATGAAGAAGTTATGGATTTCTAACGGACATTTCGTGTCTCGGCCCGTTAAAATAAATAATTAAAAATAAAGTCAAAATTTGCCGATGAAGTTTAAACGAGAGTTGTAGAGCATATTTTCAGCTACACGTGCATATAAATGTCGAAAACAGAGCTCGTATGCGAAAGTTACGGATTTTACAAGTTCGAGGCCCGAAATCCGAGGCTGTCAGGCTTACCACGACGTGGCACAGTTCGCCGCGACCCGGCCAGTGACTGAGAGCGTCCAATCAACAGAAGAGGATAAAGATGACTCACCATGACGTGGCACACCCTCTGCCACGACGTGGCACTCAAAAAATGGCCCTATACATAGATTTCAAGGGCTCCGAGTTCCATTGCTCAGTTCTCTTCATCCTCGCGCCAAAACTCTGCGTTTAAGCCCCCGAAGCCCTCCCAAAGCCCCGGTTTTCACCTTCAAGTTCCGAAGGTAGGTTTTGTGTTCCCGAGATTTTCGAGATTCCCGAGAAAATCAACTCTTCCAAGTCGAAGTTCTGCTTGATTATCATCTCGCTTTCTTCCATCAATCAAGTGAGTTCATACCCTTATAAACTACACTTTCAAATGTTTTATCAATGCTTTTTATACACTTTTAACGGGGGGAATACAAGTAAACACACGGTTATTATTGTGTGTAACATAAAGTTTCACCATATACTTTTTTTATCAAGTGAATCATATGTGATTCATAAGTACTACATAGGAACTTTCGTATGCAATATATATTCTAGATAACATCTTGTCTTTTGGAAATAAAACATGTTTATATATATATATATATATATATATATATATATATATATATATATATATATATATATATATACGAATCAAACACTTTATTTATACTTTAAGTATATATGGTCATTATCTCACTTTAAATGTATACTTTACATAACAAGTGGGCATTACACTGGGATTTACTACACGAGCGAAACACATTTTGAAAAACTATAATTGGTATAGTTTACGAGAAATTCATGAACATTTTCATACTAGAAACATTTTATCAAAGGGATATTTTCATACGCAATAACAAATGGACATTTTCATTTCGTAAATATGTTTTATACTATGTTTTGTGAGACATTTCACATACTTTCGAGTATACATTTGAAGTCCTGTGTTATATACCATAATCCCTTGTAGGGGGAGCGTGATACTTGTGTATAGATCTATACGGGATTGACAATCCCACATCTAAGCTGTTAGCTATAGTTAGGCCGGCAGGTCTGGGGTGACAAACGTCAAAACATTCCAATGCCTGAAGAACGTTGTTACAGGCAGTCTGGGTCATTAGTATGGTTATAAAACTCACATGGAGTATTAGAAACACATTGGTTTATGGGGTTATCAAATGCCTTAGTGATTTTATATTTACACAAATCTATTATTTAGGCATGAAAAACATCATTTTGTTATAGTTTTGGAACTTTTAAACTACCACACACTTATGAACAGATATTGGATTTCTAAAGGTAAACATTAAACAGTTGAGTCTTGGTAGAAGAATACTTTTATACTAGTAGAAAATACAAGATTTTCTAGAAACTTTCAAACCTGTACAAACCATTTTATTCAGTTTTATACAAATGTAGAACAATTTCAAACGTTGTCTTCATACTTATACGAACAATTGCATTGATTAATTACAAACATTTTCTTTGATGACATTAAATACTTATGAATTCACCAGCTTTATTGCTGATACTCGCTTTCAAAATAACTTGTATTCTCATGTCACAAATAGACAGGTACGACGACCAGGCTTTGTGAAGACGGAGAAATCAAGACTCCTCTTTTATTTTGATTAGTTATCATGTTGTCTTATACTATGAAAGAATAGACTTGTAATTTAAAATTATGCTATTAATGCAATGGATGATGTTGTTGCTTGTTTATTACTTTACATTGTTGTGATACATTACCTGACGTCCTCCGCCCCAGAACGTTTCCGCCGTTCTCGGTTTTGGGGTGTGCCAGATTGGTATCAGAGCATTGTTTATAGTGAATTGAGTATATCAACCCATAAAAGATATACTAACTATAAATACAATGGGATTAAAATACTCTGACTAAGAGTTTATACTTTTAAATAATAAAATACTTAATTAAGTATACGTGCCTACATTCATACTAAAACAGTGTCACAATGACAAGAACAAAAGGATTACGATTGTTGAATATCACAAGTAA